GCCCCTCACCAACATCAAGGAACCTTCCATGAGGGGTATATATGTGGCAGCTTTACTCCGAGAAAGCAGAGACGATCACACCCCTTGTGAAAACAGGCTATTTCACCACTTTGGTGCGGAGGCTGGAGATCAGGACAAGCTGTGGGTACCTCATCGTTGTTGTCTGACTTGCTCTAACTTCCTACACTTGTAAATTGCTGGAAGTCATGCATGATAGTTGCAGTCCTGATAGTATGGAGGGAACCAGAAGATTATACCAAGGATTATTTCTGAATCACAAAATCTGTAAGATTTTGTATAAAAAGAAAAACATATCCAGTTCTTCAATCAGACAGGTGGAGCATTCAGATCTTCCTGTTCCAGTCCCAAAATACTGTAAAGATAAATTTTCCTTGGATGATGAAAAAGCCGCTAACTCAGATTCCGAGTTTGAGTTGGCTGGAGTCAACAACCAGGAACCACATCTACTGACCTTAACGATCTTTGTGTACAGGTTTGATTTATTAAAAAAAAAAAACAGAGCTACTCGGCTCAAAATTGTGCCAGTGGAACTTACTGCACTATGACACAAGCATCAGTTTGTCTAGAAAACGACAGAAAAACCTGGAAACCTTAAATATGAAGAATCAATATATTACTGCTTTGATGTTAATGGACTTTTCGATGCTTTGATTAAACATTATGATCCTGTAATTTGGTGTTTGTTTACTGATCCCAACACATCATTCAAGCCTCTCAATCTACGTCTCCAGTACTTCGGTACCACATGTCCCAAAGTGGTTGGGCCACTTGCCTTGATTCCTCCTCTTCCCTTCCTTCCCATCCTTTTCCAGTTATTTCCATCCTTCCTTATCCTTCTTCCTTCCCATCTTACGACAGCTCTCGTCGTCCTCGATTCGATCCAACAAAACAATTCTGAAGCTAGGCTCACTTCATAATAGCAACACCCTACCAAGTCTGCCTTTATCTATAGCTAGAGATATAAAGCATGTTCGAAAAAACTTGTCACTGATCGAATATGAGAAGTTTGGGTGGAAAATCCATGGTAACTTAAAAGTAATAGGTTTGTAACTTGGACTGCAAGGTAGATTTACAGAATCTACCTTGCAGTCCCAGCTGTTTCCTTTGCCTGTGGGACAGTCAAGATACAAAGCAGCATTATATTCAATGTATGTGGCAACTCGAGAATCGTATGAGGACATTAGTCGATCCGAAGGACATCCTCCTTCCGCCTTTATACATCAGGCTAGGCCTTATTAAAAAAATTGTCAGTGCTGCGGACAAAGAAGAAGGTGCAAAGTTTTTTTTTACATGAAAGAGAGGTTTACCAAAGTTACTGACGCCAAAGTGAAGGAAGGGATCCTCATCGGACCTCGAATTCGGAGGTTACTAAATGATCCTCATTTTGAGGAAAGTCTGCTAGATGCTGAGCTGAGAGCATGGTTGCAGGTTTCTTAGGCAGTCCCTACTGTCATGATTAAATAAATACTGCAGAAGAGCTATTGACAGAATATTATCTACTGGGATGTCGGATGTCCCTCAAGATTCATTTCCTACTTTATCACCTTGACTTTTTCCCGTCAGTCCTCGGTGAGGGTAGTGTTGAACACTGTGAAGGATTTCATCAAGACATAACCATCATCCTCAGCCACCGTGGCATCATGATCGCTGCTTCTACATCCAGGGCACCACTGCTGCTAGTGGCTTTCTTTGGGGCCTAATAGTATTAGATGTAAACTACATTATCTGTATGCTGGATAAAAGAAATAAAGTATTTGGAATTTGAATACTGTAGTCATCCGGAAATCATTAAAAGTTTAATCGATAAAGCCCCATTCCATAAAAATGGCAGTAAAGTAATTGCAAAAACTATAGATCAATAGCATGACATCACACATTATTAAGACCTTTGAAAGGATTACAAGAAGCAAGAATACCAGCCACATGGAATCGCAGCATTTGTACAACCTAGGGAAAACACTGGTATAGAACAGGTCGTTCGTACCTCTCGCAGTTGCTGTACCATTTGAGTCTTGGAAACACTGGAAGACTAGCGTATGCGGATGTAGTGTACACTGACTTGGCGAAAGCCTCCAGTAAGTGCGACCATATGGTAATTTGATACAAAATGCCTCTCAAAAGGAATAACTGGAAAGGTTAGCAGGTGGATATTGAACTATCTATTAATAGAATATAAAGTGTAACAGTAAACAACATGAAATAAGAGGCTGCCACAGTGAAAAGCTCTGTTCCTCAATGAACACTACTTGCCCCCTCCATTCTCTCATTCTCATATCCATTACAGACAGTGACATAAATCATATCACTGTATCTATCCTTTGAAGATGATAAAAGAATTTGTACGAGTGGCACACACGGAAGACACAGCGAGACTCCAAATTGATATAAACCAAGTCTTCAAGTGGACCACTGACAATAGTACGATGTTCAGTGAGGACAAATTCATTTTTTTTCGCTACGGTAAAAATCGGGAAAATCAAAACGAGCTGATGGTACAACACAAACTCAAATCACTCAACAGAACGAGTAATAATATCGAAGGATCTCACTTTCAAGAAGCACAACAGTGTTGTTTCACAACCACAAGGAAAATGTTAGGTTGGATAAAAAGAACTTTCAAAACAAATGAGGCCAAGCCAGTGATGATACTCTACAGGTCACTCCTTCTCTGTCGGCTGAAATATTGTTATATATAAATAGCCCTCTTCAAGGCAGGCGAAATTACAGAACTGAAAAAATGTACAGCGACCCTTCAGAGCTCGCATAACCTCAGTCAAGCACCTAAATTACTTGGAGTGCTTGAAGTCCCTCAAACTACTACTTAGAACCTATGTACGGAAGATACTAGAGGAGTTGGTCCTAAACCTGCACAGTGAAATCACTCCTTACAAAAAGCACAAGTCTTGGCAGATGGTGCAATATAACTCCACTGAAAAAGCAGGGGTACAATGAGTATGCTGAGAGAACGCAGTACGTGGAAGGAGATCACGACTCTTCAACGTCATCCCACTGTGAATAAAGGGAATTACAAACAATTTTTTAGCTGTCTTCGAGAGGGAACTGGATAAATTCCTTAAGTCATTTGACGGCCGTGGGATGGTGACCCCTTCCCGGAAGCCGCTTCAGGTAACCATCACACTACCTCCACAGCCACCGTGACACTAACACTACCTCCACAGCCACCGTGACGCTAACACTACCTCCACAGCCACCGTGACACTAACACTACCTCCACAGCCACCGTGACACTAACACTACCTCCACAGCCACCGTGACGCTAACACTACCTCCACAGCCACCGTGACACTAACACTACCTCCACGGCCACCGTGACACTAACACTATCTCCACAGCCACTGTGACACTAACACTACCTCCACAGCCACTGTGACACTAACACTACCTCCACAGCCACTGTGACACTAACACTACCTCCACAGCCACCGAGACACTAACACTACCTCCACAGCCACCGTGACACTAACAACTTCTCCACAGCCACCGTGACACTAACACTACCTCCACAGCCACCGTGACACTAGCACTACCTCCACAGCCACCGTGACACTAACACTACCTCCACTGCCACCGTGACACTAACACTACCTCCACAGCCACGTGACACTAACACTACCTCCACAGCCACCGTGACACTAACACTACCTCCACAGCCACGTGACACTAACACTACCTCCACAGCCACGTGACACTAACACTACCTCCACTGCCATCGTGACACTAACACTACCTCCACAGCCACCGTGACACTAACACCACCTCCACAGCCAACGGTAACCACTAACACTACCTCCACTGCCACCGGTTGACACTAACTGCCTCCACTGCCACCGTGAAACTACACTACCTCCACTCCCCACCGTGACACTAACACTCCCTCCACTGCCACCGTGACACTAACACTACCTCCCCCCTGCCACCGTGACACAACACTACCTCCACAACCACCGGACACAACACTACCCACTGCCCCGTGACACTAACATACCTCCACAGCCACCGTGACACCAACACTACCCCCACAACCACCGGGACACCAACACTACCTCCACAGCCACCGTGACACCAACATACCTCCACAACCACCGTGACACCAACACTCCCTCCGCAACTACCGTGACACCAACACTACCTCCAAAACCACCGGGGACCCAACACTCCCTCCACAACCACCGTGACTAACACTACCTCCACAGCCACCGTGACACTAACACTAACCTCTACGCCACCGGGTGAAAACAACACTACCTCCACGCCATCGTGACACCAACACTAACCCCTTCCACCAACCACCGTGAACACCAACACTACCTCCCAGCCACCGTGACACCAACACTACCTCCACAGCCCCGTGACACCAACACTACTCCACACCACCGTGACACCAACACTACCTCCACAGCCACCGTGACACCAACACTACCTCCACAGCCACCGTGACACCAACACTCCCTCCACAGCCACCGTGACCCCAAAACACTACCTCCACAGCCACCGTGACACCAACACTCCCTTTCCACAGCCACCGTGACACCAACACTACTCCAAAACCACCGTGACACCAACACTACCTCCACAGCCACCGTGACACCAACACTACCCCCACAGCCACCGTGACCAACACTACCTCCACAACCACCGTGACACCAACACTACTTCCACGGCACCGTGACCCCACAATCGACCTCATATTGCTTTTCCCCGCGTTTTCCACTGAAAACTGACAATATATTTTCCACTCGGTGAGCATTATAACATGCACATCTTTCATTTACATTAAATAAAACTCTAAATACGCTCCTTAAAACATAATCCTAAATCTATTTTTTAATTATAGAAGTATTTACTAATAGCCTTAAGTTAATGATTAGATTTGAAGAATAATGAGTATATTTCATGTTTATGCTGGGTACAGGGACTTGCTAGGCGGTGCTGGGCCCTCTGTCCCGCAGCTGGTGGAAGTGATCCCCCCGACCACAGCACTGCACGTGAGGAAGGCTCCTTTGTCGTATTTAGGTCATTTTTATGTAAGTACGCCTCTCTCCTCGTGCTGAGGTGTTGCATATTGCGAGTGAATGATCGGTAATAATGTGGGTGGAGAGGAAGTGATTTATTGTTGTTATTTGATGGGAGGCACAGGAGAAATTAGGCCATGCTGTGCTGTCTTAGTCATTGCGGATGCCTTATTTAGCCTCTCTGGTGTGATGTTCCCGGGTTTTGTGGGTGGATGGGTCTCTTGTTGGTGTGTAGGTTGTGGGTAGTATGGAGATCGTGTAGGTGTGTGGTGTGTGTGGTGTGGTGGAACACTTTGATGAGAGGAACCACTGGAATAAATGGTGACATCCGTAACTCTTGCGTCATGGATATTTTGTCTGCCAAAAAAAAAAAAAAAGTGGTACGTTGATACTCAAATGTAGGTATAATGTGTTTGAATGGTTAAAACCCAACATGGAAACATTTTTGATGGAGGAAATACTTTTGGTAGCCTCCTGATTATTGATTTGTGTGATATGTGTCTTAGTATGCGTTAAAAAGCTCTCCTCATCCCATTTTTAACTCTTTACCTATTGATCTTTAACCAGGTTAAGTTACTAGCCTCTTCATTTTTAAGGTTATAGTCATGAATGATTTCTACTGTATCTTACAGCTAGGTTTAAATAATAAGATATTAAGAACCCCAATGGAAATATCACTGACTTTATTTTTGGGTTGTCTTAGGTAATCTACATATATGCTGCTTTGTATGATAATTTAATGTAACTGTATTTATGTACTTATACCTGAATAAACTTACTTTCATAAAGACCCCATTGGAACTGGGTCACTATGGCTTATTTTTGGATTATCCTGAGTAATTTACACACATGTTAGTATGTATGATAATTGTACTTGTGTACCTGTACCTAAATAAACTTACTAAATTTCTTTGTTAAGTAAGTTTATTTAGGTACAGATCCGCGTAAGTACAATTATAACACACAATAACGTGTAAATTACGCAAGATAACCCAGAAAATTAAAAAATGACAAATTTCCGTTGGGGTCCTTGTATTAGTCAAGTATTGTACATAAAGAATTTTTGTTGAATCATATGCAAACAGTACAGGTGTAGCAAGTTACTGTCATTAGATATGACTTTGTAAATTCCTTGTTAAAATTAAGGTAATATTTTCATAACATGGATCAGACTTAATTACAAAGTTGTTTTTTTTTCAACAAGTCAGCCGTTTCTCCCACCTAGGCAGTGTGACCCAAAAAGAAAAAATCCCCAAAACGAAAATACTTTCATCATCATTCAACACTTTCACCTCACTCGCACATAATCACTGTTTTTGCAGAGGTGCCCAGATACAACAGTTTAGAAGCATATATAAAGATACAATATAAAAAGTGACCTGAAATAATTACAATATCAGGGCCCCAATTATATATATACCGTCCTATTACACATCCCACCAAACTGCCAATGTTCCAAACCCCTCCTTTAAAGTGCAGGCATTGTACTTCCCATTTCCAGAACTCAAGTCCGGCTATATAAAAATAACCGGTTTCCCTGAATCCCTTCACTAAATATTACCCTGCTCTCACTCCAACAGCTCGTCAGGTCCCAAAAACCATTCGTCTCCATTCACTCCTGTCTAACACGCTCATGCACGCTTGCTGGAAGTCCAAGCCCCTTGCCCACGAAACCTCCTTTACCCCCTCCCTCCAACCTTTTTGAGGACAACCCCTACTCCGCCTTCCTTCCCCTCCAGATTTATACGCTCTCCATGTCATTCTACTTTGATTCAATCTCTAAATGACCAAACCACCTCAACAACCCCTCTTCAGCCGTCTGACTAATACTTTTATTACTCACAACCTCCTAATTTCCATGCCTCGAATTCTCTCCATAATATTTACACCACATATTGCCTTTAGACAGGACATCTCCACTGACTCCAACTGCCTCGCTGCAGCATTTACAACCCAAGCTTCACACCCATATAAGAGGGTTGGTACCACCTTACTTTCATACATTCCCTTCTTTGCCTCCATAGATAACGTTTTTTTTGTCTCCACATATACCTCAACGCACCACTCGCCTTTTTTCCCTCATCAATTCTATGATTAACCTCATCTTTCATAAACCCATCTGCTGACACATCAACTCCCAAATTTCTTAAAACATTCATTTCTTCCATACTCCTCCTCTCCAGTGTGATATCCAATTTTTCTTTATCTAAATCATTTGATACCCTCAGCACCTTACTCATATCTATGTTCACTTTCAACTTTCTACCTTTACCTTTATTTATTAGGAGACGTAGTTGTCTGAAGACAGCTACACTTCAAGGTTCTTGATCCAAGGAGCTGGTCTTCTTTTCCTTGGATTGAACCTGAATGCCTCCCATTCCTGGGGTGCTATATGACCCCTGTGGATTTAGGGCCTCTTCCTTTTTAAAATGAAATAAAAATTAGGGACAGCTGTTTGTCTTCTAGCTCTTAGTATCTCATAACAGACTTTCAATTCACTTGTTCTCTCCAATTTGGGAATTTTGTTCAAGTGTTAACGGCCCTGTTCAGGCCAGGAGAAAATATCAGAACTGTAACAGGTACAGAGATAGAACCAATAAAGCATTAAAATGACTGGGAATGCCTTGATCTTAGATACATAGTACTTGCTGGAGCAGAGAAGAGAAAGATGCATACTAATACTGTACATACTTAGAAAGTACTTGAGGCCTGGTCCAAATCTGCACACTACCATAATACACTGGAGTGAGAGATTTGTGCAAAATAAATCCAGTGAAAAGCAGGGGTACAGTGGGCATAATAAGGGAACACTATCATTCATGGTCTTAGACTATTCACCATCTTACCAGAAGATATCAGAATCTGCTGGGACAAGTGTAGAAGTGTTCAAGAGGATACTTGACAAGTATCTTCACCAGGTGCCAATCAACCAGTCTAATTGATATGTGGGTCAGTGCCCACCAGCAGCAACAGCCAGGTTGCCCAGACTAGCACCAGATGACTTCTTATAGTTCAACAAATCACTGGATTGCCACCACAGACATTGGTGATTTTGAAAATTAGTGACTTAACCATACAACCATACACTGAATAAACCACCATCACCATTTAAAAAAGTTTAATCCAGGATAGCCTAATAAAAATGGTGCTGTGAAGTGTAAATATAGTATAGTACTATGTAGGGAGCTTTATATGTGCCTATGTTAATAAAGTTTAATTTTGAGGTGAATTTGAACAAAATAAAATTGGTAACAAAATTGAATAACCTAATCCAGCCTGACTTGTAACTAAAAAGGTTTAAGCTAGCATTAATTATTTCTTCAGCAGATCAAAGACCACAATGCCATCAGATGCCAAAAAGAAGCGTGAGCAAAAGAAGAAGGAAGCAGCAAAAGCTAAACAAGCTGGCAAGAAGATAGAAACAAAGGATGAAAAGGAGGTATGGACTAAGCAATTTTACTTGATTATATTTTGTTTTGAATAAATGTGCTTTTATCATACAGTGAATACATGAATATGTTGGTGCATCTTAAAAAATGCTCTGTATATGCATACAAAATTGACAAATAATTATTTAACCAAGGAATGCTTAGAAATGTTCTTTTATTAAATCTCATAATCACACACACAAACCATTCTAAGATTTTTCTGGCATATTGTTGGTCAAGCATGTGTATTACCTCTTGGGAATTACAAAACGAGTGTTTATCCTGGGTATAATATACTTTATTGGGTAGTTGAAATCTGTAAATGGGTGGTTTCTTGTACTCAGTCGATAGAACAAAAGGAGTTCTGGTGAAATAGTTATGAGTTTAGTTGACTGGAACAATGGAATTGGCTGAAAATAGGGCTCAATGTGGGCAAAATTGCCAATGCGTAAATATCGCCAAGACCACTAACTTCCTGAGAGCGTAATTCCGTAAGTTTTAGATTTTTCCATCAAATTTTGCATTTTTGGTGTCGTTACCATCGGGAAAAGATTCTCTATCATTTCATAAGGATTTTTTTTTTTTTTTTTTTTAAATTCTCCAACACTGGGAGCAAGTTTGTGAGCAGGGGTATCACAGTGAAAGAGTTAGACAGCTTTTCTATTAATGCCATTTTCAAAAACGTGGCTACTGCTTGAATCGAAGGTAATACTTATTATTAGGATTATTATTAATTTCCCTAACTTTTACAGCCTCAAGAAAATGGGAATTCAAACAATTCCAAGAAGAATTCCCGTGAAACAACACCATTGATGAATGGCACCACAAATGGTACAGAGAAGCTTAGTGCTGAAGGTCAGTATGTCTGCTTTATCTCATTAAATTGTCTGATAAAATTGGGTTTGATTGCACATTGCTGTATATCATTTTATTTATTAACAAATTGGACATTTCCCACTAAGGCAGGTTGGCTCGAAAAAAGAAAAACTTTCACCATCATTCACTCCATCACTGTCTTGCTAGAGGTGTGCTTACACTACATTTATAAAACTGCACGTTAATTAACACCCCTACTTTTTCTAGTTCAATAATACAGAAGCCCCCTTTTACAATGCATAGGTTATGCTTATGAAAATCAGCACAATGTATAATGTTGCATAAGATATGAGAAAAAAATTGGGTTATCTCCAGACATCCATTTTCATTACTTTGTGTGTAAACAAGCAAACAAGCTACATTCTTGTAGTTACCTTAAATACTTGAAAAGTGTGGACAGGGTAAACTTGCCTACTGGACTGAGTAGTATGAAATCTTTAGGAAGTTCACTATGCTCAACACGCAAACCCTCTAGCACTAAACTTACAAAGCTTACCAGTGCAAGTCAGCTCAGCAAGATAGTGCTTATGCTATGTCTTCTCCATACTTAGCAACTGCCTCTTATTGACTAGGCATAAGGTAGGTCAGTGACTTGTTCATTGTAATCAGAAGTGAGGTGTAGTGACTTGGAGATAACATTACAGGTGAGGGGATGGGGCCACTAGGGGAAGTAGGTTATGGGAAACTTTTCTTAGCAGCAATAAAGAAGACCTTCCCTATACCAAGACACCATGGTGTTGCTTTGTCAGACATGTTCTGAATGGTGTACAGTACCAACAAGTTGATAAGTCATGCAACATGTAGTGTCTATTGATGAAAACTTTCTGCTGCTTCATGAACACCACTGCTTGTCTTGTTCATCAACTTAATGGTACTGTGGTTATTCTTCATAACAGGGCCTGGTCACAGACTGGGCACGCGTGGGCATTGGCCCCCGAAACTCTCCTCCAAGTAAACTATAATAATTTTTCTGGTTCAGGCATTATCCATGGTGTTGGTACAGGGGATGTCTCTACAAACTTATTACTAACACCTGTTTAGCATGAACTACTTCCACTGATAGCCCTGGTCACTTGTGACAACTCCAAGTTACATACCTCACTTCTACTGGTCACCAATCATATACAAGTTTCTGACCTGTTACCTCGGCGGACTGGACCCCTTATATCAAGGCCTGAGGGACTGATTACCTCAAGTCACCCCTTTAGTTTTTACTGTCTGAGGCATTCACTTTCTGGAAACTTTGCTCAATGAAAATGTAGTCAGTGTCTATCGAATGGGTTTTCGATACAGTGGATGGGGTTAAAGAATACTCACGTGGGCTGGTAGTGTAAAATATATATCGGGGAAGTATGGATGCGCCAACAGCCGACCCTGTCTCTTCTCTCTGCCTAACTACGACTGACCCATAATGCCTACGGGTGAGGGTTGGTTGAATCCTGCTGATGGTCAGCAGCATTATGAATACAGTCAATGTTCACCACATGGACGGTTGGTAGTGAGTCATACTACTGGTACACTGCGTATGGTAAACTCGGTTGCTAGGGAACTGGTACTATACTGAGAGCTCGGCGACGCTAACGCTATGTCGTCCCGACATACAACTAATACAAAAACTAGGGACGGCAGGGTACGGCTTGGGCTGCTGTGGATTATACATGTCCAAGTACACAAAATTGAAACATTTAACATAATAAGTAGATATTGGAATGGAAGCTTTCATAATTGAACGGTAATAAAACTGTAATGCAATCACTAGGTATTAATATAGCAACTAACTCATCCCTTCTCGCGTAATGAAACTCAACTTTGGGATTAAACATAGAAGTGATAAAAAAAAAAATTTGATCGATCGAATCTGTATTCATGTGATCTACGGATTCTGAGGAAGGATATATACCAAAGAAAGAAGTGTTTAAACAGAAAGCAGATTTGATGCACTCAAATCCTTAGACTGTTTTAATTCTCAGAATTCTGAGAGACGTGAACACAAAAAAAAATTCTTGAACACTGATAAGTTGATACCTGTAATTATTCATCTTACAGGTTATTTACATTTAACCCCAATTCTGCTAGGGTGAGAATTTGTATATGCAGAATGGGTGTATCTCTGGGAGGATCAAACTCTGTTGCATGGTAACTCATGCTGTATTTGAGGCAATATCTGAATTGGTAGTTACAAATGTACTTGAGGATTTCTCAATACCTGTCTGTGTTAGTGGGAATACGAACATTCAGTTGTTCTTTCCTGACTGAGTATCAGCGGTTAGAGAGTAAAGGATCAGGAGGCATTGTCAGAGTCTGTCACATTATTGGGTTGGAACATCATTATCATCCACATACTAACTTCTATGATCCAATGCAATTCTTTATACTGACAGTACTATTTCTTAACTTATACTTATTACCAGTGTATGTTCAAACTACTCGATAAGGACCAACAAAACTTTTGATCAAGCTTAGTGCATTGCAGACGTTTTGTTTTAAAGTTAGTAGCATAACTCTCGAACATACTTGATTTTGGTGGCTTTGCTTGAGTGTTTGCGGACTTGTAAATTCTTGCTGTTGATTTTATGAAGTGTTTCAGGTTTTTCTAAGAACTTTGAGCTAAGCTGGTACGAGTTGCTATGAAATCATTCAGGGTTGTAATTTGGGTTTCGGATTAGAGAAATTATATCAACTTCATAAGGCAAATGTTTTTTACACCATCAATGCATAAATGTGAGTGTCTCCTATAGTAACATTGTAAGCAGAATTATTAGACACTGCAACATCAGGTATAACTTCATCCCAAAATTTCACTGTTGAGGATTGGATTAGTGGCTCTCAAGACATCAAAGTACTTTCTTATTGTATGTCCGCTAACCCATTGCTGGCAGATGATGAGGAACAATGAGTGCGGATATTTAGAAAATCTTGTTACAGGTGCACAAATTTTCAAGAATCTCATTTACAGAATTCACCTCCTTTATCTGTTACTAGGGACTTCTTAAGCGGCGGTATGCCTGCAGATAATGCGTTCTTTAAAAGCTTTAGCTACTGTCTCGCAAGTCTTATCTGCAATATGGAACTAACTCTCAATTCTGGTGAAATGGTTCTACCATAACATCGATGTTTGTTGCCCTGAAGGGAACATTGGAAATTAGTTAAAGATCTAGCGCACTCTTTCCCACGGTTCGATAGTGAGTTGGATACCCATGGATGGATTAGGACCTTTAGCTATACCTTATGTTGCATGCAGACACTACAACTTTCTTAACATACTCAGAATATCAGTTGCCATACGAGGCCACAAAGTATTTCAATCTGGCTTGTTTTACTGAACGATCTACCAGGTTGCGCAAACAACATGGTACATCGTGAATAGCTGGTAAGACTACATTCAATAGTGACGGTGGAATTACTACTAGGTAAACTCTTCTGCTAGGAGTACCAATCGGCTGTTCGATACAGTATCTTGGGTTCATGGACAAAGTCATCTGATGGGTGCTGGTGGCTTCACAGTAAGAATAAGATCTTCCTGGAGAGGAATCGAAATCCACAAGACCCACATGCGGATCTGTTCGTTGAGATTCTTTACTTTCAGCACAAAATGGAGGGGTCTCTGCACGTTACTATTCTAACATGTCGCGATAGGCATTCTGCGACTACATTTGACTTGCCAGGTAGTTGTTCAAAGTTGGGATTGAACTTTGGATAGTCAAGGTCCATATGGCTAACCTTCCAGTAGGTTGTTTGTTTTTCTGGAATGAAGGGTATCAGTGGAGTGTGGTTTGTCAAGACTTGACGGTTACTGATAATAAATAAATGTCTTCGGAAGTGTTTAAAGACCTTATATTGCTAAAGCTTCTTGCCTCAGTTACTGTATAATTACGTTCAGCCTCGTATAAAGGACTCGGTAGCAAATGCAACTGCGTTGTACTTGTGCCATCAATCTTCTGAGCTAGTAGGCACCTTTGCCCGTTAGAACTAGCATCAGTAGTCAGATAGAAGGGCTTAGAAAAATCTGGAAATTTCAAAATTTGGAGCAGATGTTAGCTTTTCTTTTAGAGTTTGGATGCTCTTTTCTTGACGGTAGGTCCAAACAAAAGGGGCATCTTTCTTAAGCAACTCAGAGGAGCAGCTATGGCAAGAAAAATTGGATGAAAGATCTATAAAAAAACCTGTCTAAGCCCTCAAAGGATCTTACGGCATCAGCAGTTTGGGAGGTTGGAAAAATTTAGTATTGCAGTTAACTTTGGTCGGTCGTAACCCTCTAGGAGTGACTGCGTGACCAAAGCAACTTTATTTCTGATCTGGAAAAAATTGACATTTAGACAGTTTGATTTTAAATTGGCTCTTCAAGTCCTTACCAAGTACTACATCAAGTCTTTTCAAGTGTGTATCCACGTCTTTAGACATTGACGATTACGTCATCTAACGTAAACATAAGTGCATTACCTATGAGACCTCTAAAGATATTAGTCATGAGCCCTTTAGAACGTGATAGGGGAGGATCGTAATCCAAGCCATAGGAGGAAGTGATAATGACCTGTAGGAGTGGAGAATGCAGTTAGCTCTTGGGGGTGTCCTCGTGAAGAGCGGACTTGCAAAAACCCTATGTAACAAGTCCAGGGTTTTGAAAAGACTTTATTCTGATGTTACGTATAAAAGATCACCAGTACAGGAAGTGGGATGCGATCTGGGATAGTTTTGGCATTTAACTTCCTAAAGTCAATCACTGGGCGCCAAGTACCAGCCTTTTAGGATACTAGGATCAAGGGTGCATTCCAAGGTGAATTGCTAGGTGCAATAACTCCATCATCAAGCTTGATTGATCAATTCTTCTGCGACCAGCAACTTGTGATGAGAGCATTCGGTACGCAGGTATATAGATAGGTTAGTTACCAGGTTCCAAGTGGAATACTGATGGGACAATAGTTCGTTATTACCATCTTCTCACCTGGTAAGGCAATGGCTTTACGGACGTTTGTTCAACAGT